ATTCATCTCTATTCTTCCTAAAATACCCTTCCTTTTCTCCTTCTTTTCTTCCACTCCCCTGACTTTCTTTCTCCACTTGCCGTCCCTCCTCCCCCTTTTATCTCTTTTCTTCTCCTTATCCTCTCTCTCTCTTCCCCCTCCCCTTCTTTTTCTTCTCCTGGATTTGTTCTTCTCCTTCTTCTTCGTTTCTTCTTCCACCCCCTTTTCTTCTCTCTCTCTCTCTCTCTTCCCCCCTTTCTCTTCGTCTTCTTCTTCTCATCCTCAACCTTGTTCTTTTTCTTTCTTCTTCCCTCAGATCTACGCCTTTCCCCCTCCATTTTCTTCTTCTTCTTCTAGATTTGTGTTAGATTAGTGGGGCTGGCAGTGATAGTAGAACAGACGGCGACGGTGAGAGGTAGATCTGGTAGATCTGTGGGACTAGTGGTGATAGTAGATCCGTGGGTCTTTCTTCTTCTTCTTTCCGCCTCCCTCAAGTTTTTCTTTATTTTCTTTATTTATTGTGGTGGGGGCTGGGGCAGGATTGTATGGTGGAGCGGCGGATGTGGCTGGGGCAGCGGTGGGCTGCGGCGGAAATGGACTGGGGCGGCAATGGATTGGCAGTGGGCTAGGGTGTGGGTAGAATACTGTTGGGGCATAACAAAAAGGTAAGAGGGTATTTTGGACATTTTAATGTCAAAATCAACACCTACTAAAAATAAAGAAAAGTGAAAGTGGGAAGTTAATTCCCGGACGGAGGGAGTAGTATATACTCCCTCCGTCCACATTTAAAGTTCCCGCTTTGACTCGGTACGCAAATTTAGGTGGAATGAAAATTGTGTTGACTTTCCCTCTATGCCCCTCATCTTTTCTACCCCTGTACACCCCACACCCCATTGGAGTCGTCTACCCCTGTACACCACTGACGCCGACACTTCTGCACCGCCGTTGCCGCCGCTTTTGCGCCACCGCTGCTTCTGCACCGCCGTCGATGATGCTTTCGCATCCCCGCCGTCGAAAGCTCTGGGCATCGCAGCGCCCAGCCGTCGCAGCCCCTAGCATCCCTCTCGCCGTCATAAGCCCCCGCCTTCAAAGATCTATTTTTAGACTTCTCGTTATGGAAGAAAATCAACATCCCACCATAGATCTGGAAAAAAATAAAAAAAATTGTTCCTCCAAATCTAGATCCGACGAAGATGTAACCAGATCTGAAAAAAAATTCTTCTTTTAATTGACGAAAGAAGAAGGGAGAAAAACAGGAAAAAAATGAAGAAGAAATAAGAAGAAGAAGAAGACGGAAGGACAAAGAAGAAGATGAAGAAGAAGAAGAAGAAGAAGAAGAAGAAGAAGAAAACAAGAAAAGAAGAAGAAGAAGAAAACAAGAAGACGGAATTGAGAGGAAGAAAAGAAAGAAAAAGAAGGAAAGAGGAGGAAGAGTGGGGATGGTGGCTGACGAGGTGGGAAGGAAGAAAAAAGGAAAAAGAAAAGAAATGTAATGGATGAGGGTAGTTTTGTCTTTTAACCCTGTAAAACTTACTAAAAAAGGAAATGGGAACATTATTTGTGGACGGACCGAAAAGGAAAGTGGAAACTTTAATTTTGGACAGAGGGAGTATTAAATTTTTAAAATGTTAACGCTAAATGCTATCGTTTGATAGTTCTTTTTAAAACACTAACTGTAACAAAATAGGATCTAATTTTAAATGATAATTCAATCCGTTTAAATTTTTTACATAATTTGCGTTCAATTTTTTTAAAAATTAACCAAGAAAGTCAAAGTAGTAAGAAAGTTTTTTGAGAGATGGAGTAGTGATTATATACTAAATCCCCCTTGATACTAGTAGGAGAAAAGTATGAAAATACTAAAATAGGAGTAATAAGCATTTTAAGACCAAAATATAAGTATAATGACAGTTTGATGTAAAAGTGTGTTTTGCCAGTGCGATGAAAAAATGTTGACAGTGTAATATAGAAGTGTGACCAGCAACCATCGTTGATCCGCGGAGACACTATGGTGGCCAATGACGACGGATGGCAATGTGACAGTACGTGATAGTGAGGCAGTTGCAATGTATGTAATAATATGGTGAGTGTGGCAGTGTATGTAACAATGACAGTGTGAACTTCTATTTTGGTCTTAAAAGACTTAGAATTCCTATTTTGATATTTTCATAGTTTTTTAATCTTATATAGAGAGTAATTAGATCTGTGTAGACAAAGGTCGGCCCGTCTGGCCCGCCCTTTAAAAAGGACGAATATGGACAACCTTTAATACTTGCATGGGCGGGCCGGCTCGACCCCGAATTGTATCTGGGCGGATCTGGAAGTTATTTTTAGCCCATCCGGGCCAACAAGCCGGCCCATATTCATCCAAAATATTCACTTTATTATGAATTATCTAGCCAATATAATTTTGAAAAATTGTTATAGTTCATTTATAATGGTTCAATTCACTGACCTCTCATAAACAAAAATCAATTTTCTTTTAATGAATTAGTATGATGGATTTATTTATTATGCAACAATACCTCTGCTATGTTTTCTGTGTAAATTTGGTAAGTGGTGGTTTTATTTTAAACATTGAAAAAAGAGTTCAATGTTTTTTTGGATTTTTTGGGCAAAAAAAGTTTTCTTAGTGTTTTATCCAGGCCGGGCCGCCCGGTGGGTAGTTCGGCCCGCTAAAGTGGGCGGGTAAGGGTAAAGAGTTTAGCCCATCAAATTCGGGCTGGGCTAGACCCGCCCATGTAAATGGGCTAATAATTTGTATCCAGCCCGACCCAGATCTAGCCCGGATCCTTATTTGCACAGGTCTAAGAGAGTTCTATACTCCCTCCGTCCTAAAACGTTAAGATATCAACCTAAATAGTAGTACTAAAACATAGGGAAAAAAGCAAAATACGAGTTTCATGTTATTATTCTTGAAATAAGACTTTGCACTGTGACAATGTGATTGTAATGTGGCACTGTATGTGTCACATTACTATACTTTTTGGTAATGTACATGACCAAGTTTGAATTGGTCATATAAATACATTTTAACTCCTATATATTTTGGGAATAAAAATATGGAAGTCCTATTTTGATATATTTTCAATGTGTTACTCCTACTTTAATCTTTTTCCCTAAAACAATCTTCATGTTTCTTTTTGCGAAGTTTGACCGACTTTATTTTCAATTCAATTTATTTGATTGTAGATATAAAATTCAAAAAATAAAATTTACTCCGTATATATTTAAAGACTACATTAAAAGTTTAAGAAAAGAAGAGGTGACAAGACTATTTATTTTATCAAATAATCAGAAGGCGGATCTACTAAGAGTCCCATGGGGTCCCGAGACCCCACAGACCCCGATGTAGGTCCATATGTGTATTAGGTTTAAATTAAAATTCTATATGAATAAAAGAAGCCTGAGACCAGTCCATTTCTTAAGGTAATTTGTTTTAATGTTGCTTTCAATATTTTTTTTAAATATTTTGAAAATGAGTATTAAATCAATTGATCATGAACTTTTTTTGTATTTTATTTAGTATTTTACTAATCTAATTTACAAATTTAATTGATTGTTAATTCTAGACTTTATAAATTCTTTAAAGGTAAGCACTCAAAAAAATTGTTTAACGACAAATTTTTAGTGTCATTTCAATGGTAAATCTAAAATGTCTCATTAATGATTGTCTCTTAAAATTGAATTTACAATTCTAATATATTTGAAAAAAACGCTCAAAATGCAAAGAACCAAAAACTTGTGGAAGTTGTATTAATTTAATACCGAGTACTAATATTTCGGTGTCCCAAGTAAAAACTCAATCTTTACCTATTAAAAAAGATTCAAAAACCATTTCAATTTTGAATCTTTAGAGGTTGGCTCTCTCTTAAGAAAGAAAATATTCGACGTTCATCTTACTATTAAAAATAGGACATTTCATAGTAATCTTCAAAAAATGTTTATGAAATATTAATACACTAAATTTCTTTTTAAACTAATTAGTGGAAAGAAGCATATTTTTGTTTTTTCTTGGTTTGACCAATTGTAAAATGCCTTTGTAAAATACTACTCCCTCCGTTCCACAAAACCCTCCAGTTTTGACTTTGGGGAAAAATAAGGAAAGTGTAATTTTGGTTGACTTTCCAATTTTACCCCTGATGTGATGGGAAAAAGTAAGATGTTATAGTTTAGTTATTAGTGAACAAGTATGATGTGATAGGTAGGGTATGAAAAAGTAGGAGTAAAAGTAAAAAACGAAAGAGAAAAGGGTTTTGTGGAACGGAGGGAGTAGTAATAATTATGATACTGTGCATATCCAGGTCACTAAAATTGGATAAAATCGGGGGGGTGGGCAGGTCAATCTGGAAACCAGACTCCCAACCAGTTTGGGATATCCCTTGAAAACCCCTAGAAACCCAAATTGACACAGAAAACTCGCAACCTGGCGGCCACGTTGATTCTTTGCTGCTTTGGGTTTAAACATTGATTTAAATAGAAAATATTTTTTGAGTTTATTTCTAAAAGATACAAAGTAAGAATTAGCTCGAGGTAAAAACTCAAAGGTAAGAAAATTTAGGACCCCATGGTCGAAAAATCCTGGATTCGCCTCTGCAAATAATTAACGAAAATACATAATGAGAGTGATTAAAATTTGATTGTATATAATCGGGAAGGATGTTTTAAGACGGAGGGAGTATAAGGATACATTCCCTAGGACTATGTGGAGTAGTATGTCAGAGTTGATAAGTGGGAGCAACACGTGTTCAGATGCATGCATGCATGCAACCATCTGCAATATGAGCGCTAACTCATCATCATAACATAATTCAATTCGCATCGACTCATAATACCCCTACTTTTATTTAGCCAACTCTTTATTGAATTTACTTTTGATTTCTTTTTTCTTTCTTTTATTCTACGAAAAATTTGAAGGATTATCGAATAACAATAATAATTTTGAATGAGGAATTGATAAGGGCTCAAAGAATTGAAGTAGATCGATATATAGTTACGTTGTTGATTGTATTATTAATTAGTACTGCAACAATATACTCCATTACGGAGTAAGTAATTATTTAAAAGAAGAAAAAAAGAAACAGAAAAAAGTGGTGGGTGCTGATAGGATGATGGATTTGGGGAATAGAGTGCTGAACATGGTGTTGCCGCCGGCGAGCCTGGTGATTCTGGCGTTTGCATGGCCGGCTCTGATTTTCATAGGCGCGTGCGAACGGCTTTGGATTGCTTTGTTCGGGGAGGAGATGATGGAGGACAAGGTCGTCATCATCACCGGAGCTTCTTCCGGCATAGGGGAGGTATTTTAATTGCTCCCTCCGTTATCAAAAACACTTTCTCTTTTATTTGTTTCACTTCCAACAAAACATTTTCACTTTCTATTAAAAAACCACTTTTATCCTTATTTTTTCATATCCTTCCTATCACATCATACAATCTATCACATCTTACTGTTACCCATTACTGTTACCCATCACATCAAGGGCAAATAAACTTCCCCCTTCGTTTTTTCTTTGTCCCCAAATAAACTTCTCTTTTCCCTTAAAAAACCCTTTTTACCCTTTACTTTTTCATATCCTACCAATTACATCATACTTTTTTACTAATAATTTACATATCACATCTTACTTTTACACATCACATCAAGGGTATTTTTGGAAAGTCAACACAAAAATACTCCTCCTTAAATTCTCAAAAAGTCAAAAACAGAAGTTTATTTAGTGATGGAGGGAGTACAATTTAACACTTCCTTATTTTTACACTTGGTCGAAATAGGAACTCATTTTTAGAACGGAAAGAGTATGTTTATGTATGCACACTTAAGTACGTATTACAATGTGGCTAGCTAGTGATTTATGAGTACTCCGTAGGTTTATATTTATATATTGTTTGGATGTAGGGAAATTGATAGGAAAGAAAATATGAGTAAACAGTAAGAAAACACAAATTTTAAAAAAAAACTTTCTCATGTTTGGTTGCATTGGGCAAAAAAAATTCATAATAAGGAGATGAGAAAATGGTACCAATGGTAATTTATATTATAATATTTTCTCTCTTTTCACATTTCTCACCATTTTTTCATGTCATCCAAACAGACCTGGCAAAATAGAACTGGAACTGATTATCCAAATTGAATTAACCGAAATCGAAACTGGAATGATCCAAAAAATTAAGATTCGATCTATAATAAAAAACCCGAAATGATTCGAACCAAATCGACACCGAACTAAATAATTCATACTCTCTCCGTTTGGAAAAACACTTCTTCTTTCATTTTTTCGCTTTCATTAAAACACTTCCTTTTTTATTAAAATGGTTAATCTATCTAAATAAAGCCATTCCAATATACTTCATCTATTTTGTATTGATATAATACTCCCTCCGTTCTAATAAAAGTTTCCTATTTTGACTTGGAGCCAAAATAAAACTTTATAATTTGGCCTTTAACCATCCCATTATGCCCTCCTGCCCTTGCACGTGGGTATGGGAGAAACCTAAAAGGGGGAGGATTTCAATGAATGCCAATAGTACTCAATCATTACAAGTAAAATTTACACTAAATAGGATTAAAACATAAATCATTTTCTAATATAGGACTTAAACTTTTTTATTCTCTAAATAAGACTTAATAATGTCTAGTGGAAGGATTAATGTCCAGTGATTAATGTCCAGTGATGGTGGACATTTACTTGAATAATGACTAATGGATAATGACCAAAAGTCCTACATTGGAAAATAAAAACATATGGTTTTATATTGAAAAAGTTATTATGTTTTAGTCCTATTTAGGTAAATTCTTCATCATTACAAATAGTGTAAAGTTTCCACTTTTATAGAGGGAGATTACAAAAAAATTAGTTTGGGAAAAATTTAAAATTCCCTCCACACAATTTCATGTACAGCCCAAACTTCTTCAATAAATACACAATGAAAGTGTAACATTAAACACATTTCATCTACCCAAAATACTCCTGCAATTAATGTTGTCAATCATTTTCTTCCTTTGCCATTAATGGCATCCGAGTTCTTCCCCATGTTGATTCCGCTTCTAATGTCGTTTCCACTGTTGACCCCTTTTTGCCACTCCTGGATATTTCTTTTGCTTTCAGCACCCCTGAAATAGTTAATTCAAATAGTATATCTGGTGTAGAAGCAAGAGATGAACGAAGGAAAAAAAATTATTGATGCAATTCTACAAAAGTTCAACAATGGCAAACTTCAGCAAGGCTCAATTAAGACAGTGGTAGCTCAGTTTAAAATGTCAAATCATTGGGTTGGAGAGCTATGGAGAATTGCTAAATTAAATCTTAATTGGTGTGGGGCCAAGCTGTAAATGTTTAATGCAGGTGGCAGGGTAATGTAGGAAAGAAGCGTAAGGTTGTGGACTTCTCAAAGCTGAGTGAAATTCCATTTCACCAACAAAAGACTTTACGTGCTATAAACCATTGCATGAAAGTCTCGACCAGTACAGCACACAATTGGCTCAAGGAAAATAAAATAAGAAGGCATTCAGAGGCCATTAAACCCCTTCTGTGTGAAAAGAGCAAGTTAAAGAGACTCAGGTATTGTTTGGCTCTTATTTATCCCACATCACTACCAAACAACCCCACATTCCATGACTGCTATAATTACATACATATAGATTAAAAGTGGTTTAACTTTAGCAAGGCAACAACAACTTTTTACACATTTCCTGATGAGGAAGAACCATACAGTCCAAAACACACATTCCCAAGATTATGTTTTTGGCAGCTCTAGGTCGTCCCAGATTTGGGGTTGATGGTGAAGTGTTATGGGATCGAAAAATAAGCATATTTCCATTCACATATGTGGAAGCAGCCCAAAGGAGTAGCAAAAATAGGTCAGCTGGTACAATGGAAATCAAGCCAATACCAAAGATTACAAGAGATGTGATGAGAAACATGATTGTACGGCAACTACTACCAGCAATAAGGGAAAAATGGCCAGGCACAACCAAATTAAAAACATGTACTCATACAACATGACAATGTTAAACCACATGTAGATATTAATGACCTAGAATTTGTGAGTGCTGCAAAGGAAAGTGATTGGGATATTCAATTACAGTTTCAACCCCAAACAGTCCAGATTTGAATGTGGAATGTGCTTGACGTGGGGTTCTTTTGGGATATTGATGCAATTCAGGACAAAACTGTACTGAGGACTATGGGGGACTTGATTGGTATTGATGAAACAGCTTTTGACCAACTCACCCCACAAAAACTAAACCATGTCTTCTTAACTTATGAGATGGTCATGGGTGAGGTCCTCAAGCATAAAGGATTAAACCCATAGTTATAGTGACAAAGGCCGGATTAGTGTTCGCTTATGGCCGTTAGGGATTAAATATGAGTATCAATGGATGATTAGATTTGTTTAAATTCAAAATCAGGATTTCCAACGATAGCGTAGCAAGGTACCAGACTTACGGTATCGAGGTACCAGACGAACGGTAGGGGTACTGCGAATGGTGTTCGCTGGGTACCAGTATAGGCCAATTTGCTCTGGTGGTATCACGTACGGTACCGCCTAGACGGTAGGGCATACCGTTACAACGGTAGTGAGGTACCGTAACAGCTACCGGACCACTGACCTAGTTTTTCCAAAATTTGTTCAATCATTTTCGTTTGAGTTTAAAACCTTTTGGATATTTGAAAATGTATAAGATAGTTTTAAACATATTTTGTGAGTGCATTTGAGTTTGTGAATATATGTATATAAAATCATATTCTTACATTTGTTTGTACCTATATTCTACGCTCGTTTAGTGTTTCAACTTCATTCTTGAGAACCGAATCTTAATAGATTCTTGTTGTACCTGAAAGACTTAAACAAATGGTAGCTCATATATTGTTTGTTAACATCAAAACACGATCTTTATCAAAACAAGGCTAACACATAAAACCAAAAAACATTTAAATATATTTTGTGAAATGATCATTGAAAATATGCCAAGAAAAAAACTAAAGTTAACCTTGAAATAGCTAGGGTAAAGAAATTTATATGACAGAGGGAGTATATGATATGATACAATTAAAACACACTTACTTTTTAACTTTAATTTATCCCCCCAAAAAAATTCCATTGCTCCTTATAATAAAGACCAGAGTGAGTACAAAACCAAATGAAGAAGCTAACATAAAAAGAAAGGGATCCGATCGAGTTTGTGCATGAATATATATACGATGGGCGTATGGCACAATTCAATCATGAATATAACTCTCATGGTTTCTGGTTTCTAAATTGCCACCCCTTGATCACCAAATATTAAGGTACAGCTGCTTCCATTTTATATGTAATACACTTAATAATAATGCATGACAGCAAATTGCATATGAGTATGCCAAAAGGGGAGCCAATCTTGTGTTAGTTGCAAGGAGGGAGAACAGACTGCGGGGAATAAGTGAGAATGCAAGGCTGCTGGGTGCCAAGAATGTGTTGATCACAGCCGCAGACGTTGTCAAGGAACAAGACTGCACGAGATTCATCACCAAGACAGTCAACTTCTTTGGCCGCGGTACCCTACTTTCATAGAAACCTTACATTTTTGGAATGTTTGAGGCTGTACACATTATTTTAATTTCCGCTGATTTTTTTATGCTGGGATTTTTTTATCTGGCTTGTTTTTCCATTGCAGTTGATCATCTGGTAAATACAGCAAGCCTGGGACATACGTTTTACTTCGAGGAAGCCACAGACTCTTCTGTGTTTCCTATTCTAATGGTACGTGTTGAGATGTAATTAAAAAAAAACAAGAAATGTGTTTTGGTGTCAAATTATGAGCTTCATTGTGTTATCCATATAATTGATCTCACAAAACAATGGATTTGTTAATTTCCAGGACATAAACTTCTGGGGAAATGTTTATCCGACATATGTAGCCCTCCCATATCTTCGCCAACATGGAGGTCGGATCGTAGTGAATGCATCGGTGGAGAATTGGATGCCTTTGCCAAGAATGAGCTTATACTCTGTGAGATATTTTATTGCTTTTTATTGCCTGAAAGCCAATTTGTTTCTTGTTACTTTACACACTTTCTTTTTTAGGATGTTTTTATATTTCATTTCCTACACTCTACGATAAAATGAAATTGTGCCTTGAATGAAACAGGCAGCAAAAGCCGCGCTGGTGAATTTCTACGAGACACTTAGGCTGGAGGTGGAAGACAGCATTGGGATCACAGTCGCGACACATGGTTGGATCGGCACTGAAATGACGAGGGGAAAAATCATGGTGGAGGAGGGCGCAGAGATGCAGTGGAAAGAAGAAAGAGAAGTATTGGATCAACCCCCATAACCTAACTACGATATTCAACCATATTCAAGCGAATAAAGCTAGGGTAACCTCAACATTTTGGGGCTACCCATGACCCTAAGCTTATGTGTTGAGGTCATGGTAACCCTAAAATGTTGGGGGTACCCTAGCACGACCCTATTGAAGCCGAAGACCCAAAAGCTTACTATATTTACTCATTATTTGTGAAGGTACACGCAAGCGGATCGGTGGAGGAGTTTGCGAAGATGATTGTGGATGGAGCGTGCCGTGGAGATGCATATGTGAAGTACCCCAGCTGGTATGACACTACATTCCTTCTCTATAGGGTCTTCTCTCCCAAGGTCCTTAACTGGACTTTTCGCCTGCTCTTCGACAACCTTAGTTCCCGGAGGACTTCTTTCATTGGTACCAGGAGGCCTCTAATGGACCCCGTCAGATTGGAGTCGCGTCCTCCCGGGAGGCTCCTTGCTGGACCAGATCCTGTCCATGTCCACCACCAGCCACTCAAACTGGAATGAATAAACGTTGCTACGGTCATCGTGTACACAGTCATTTTAATTTTTTTACTTTTTGGTAAGCTACTTTCGTCTTCCGCTGTGTTGTTTCATCTTTGTGTTCTTTGAAGATTGTTCAAAGAGTTCATAACTTGAAGCCATGTAGCTACTTTGTGGCCCATTAGTAAGTTAATAAAATAAACAAATAAAATGTTACATTTGAAAAATGTTACACTGAGAGGCTTATAAGAGTATCTGATCTAATGATTTCAGTCATGTTCCCTAACCAGATTTCGCAAACAGCTCCGTTAGATCAAGTTCAGGTTCAGTTTTTTCGAATTTGAGATACTTTGGGTTCGGATTAGTTGGGGTTTAGGTTGAAAAGTTTACACTCATTGTATGTTCATGACCTAGAATCATGTATTCACGTCGATCCAACGGATTTTTTATCTTTATTTATCGAGCTGCTTATAATAATCTCATCTTTAAAGATGTAGCAAAAAAATTAGCTTGACGATTGCTATAAAACCCCAACTCTTGTTAACTTGCTCGCGCGGTATTAACACAAGGTTGTTAATTCCAAGATTCGTGTGAATGTTCATACGGAGTACAAAAAAATAGCTAGGGGACGTCACTTTTTGACATCACTTTGACATCAGAGTGTTTCACAGGCACATAGAGAGAAATCAAACTAGAAATAGATCAATGATACACTTGACTTGAGCTTCAAAAGCTCTCCCTCCCCTTTTCCCCTTTTGGATGTGATGGGAAGTTAGACTACTCCCACAAGATATATAGCCCATATGAGACCCCAAAAAAAAGTGTCCCTAAACTTCATTTGGAGAAAGAGTGAATGAAGTCCAAGATTCCAGTCCCTCTGAGAAGACCTTTACCAGTAAGAAGTTCAAAGCCTAGCAGCAGCAGAAACCCAATTGCAGCAGCTTTTCCATTTATCACCTCATTCCTTCTTGTGAAACCAAAGCCCTCTTCATCCTCTCCCACCACCATCCTCACCTATAACATTCATAAGGTATATACCCCATTCGAAAAGGGTTATTTTCGTCTTAAATGACTAAAAAGTTGGCATGGATTTGTTGCTGATATGGTTGAATTACAAACACCCACATGTGAAATAAACCAATGTAAAAGTCTCATCTCCTGTCACTACATTATGCTAAAAACAAGAACTAAGACCGATACTACGTTGTAATAGAGTTATTAATGTTAAAAAAAGAGACTTTTTACCTCGTCCACATTGACATCAGTTGCAGTAACACCGGGCTGAGCCTTTCCACTGAACAAAATCTCAGCAGATGCGTCCGTTTTCGCCCCTCTCGTGCTGATGTATACACATTCGTTGTCTGTTTTGACAGAATAAACACGCAGGTTTCTCAGTGAAGGAGACAGAACTCTCAAAACTGGGTTCTTTGGGTACCATTCTTTTACTTCTCCGGTTCGTAAATCGAATGTGCTCTCAGTTGTTGGGCAAACAATACACCCATCCTGCATAAATTTGAATTCTCTTTTATGAATTGTGCTGATTTAAGATTCCAGATTATGTGAGAGTGCTGGATTACATGAATGGATTGAAAAACCTTAGTGAGCTTGGCGTTGAGGAGGCCTTCAGTGTACGCCCCTTCTGCAGGGGATCGGTTCTCGATGGCAAAGACGTCATTTTTATACCAGAGCAGCAGGATGGTCTCGCCGTCTTGGGTGATCACGCGCCGCTCTCCTCTCGGCAGCGCGTCCAGGGGAACAACCGGCACCCAGTTGTTCGATCCCTCTCCGCCTCCCGATGCTGACGGCCCTTCCGCCGCCGACGCCTCTGCGGCCTGGCAAATGTAGCTTCTCTGGACAGTAAAGGTGTTGATGGAGATTCTGAGTCTTGGGGTTCGACCATCGGAGGTGGTGGTGTTGGTGGGTGGATGGAGGAGAGACGACGGTGGTTTATGGCGGCAGTTGGGCCGGCTAGGGATTGGTAAAATGCCTGTGGCGGCGAGTTTGGGTGCGGCAGCCGCCATTTATTCGGGAATGGGCGGTGTTCTTTTTTAAAGGTATAGGTTCGGAGAAGCTCAAGATATTGTGTGACTGGGAATCTCAAAGGAGTAGTTCATGCCACATAAACAAGATAAGAAGATAGCAGCACCATTAATGGAAGGAATAGCCGAAGGATAAAGCTATTGGTACCCCAAACTGTACCCCAATTTGTATACCGCAGGGTTGCATCTACATTTTGTGTGTGTTGGTGTAAAACTAATTTTTGTTAATGCACCAACACTTTGTGTCCGTGTAAATTTTTGTTAACGCACTCACACTTGTGTCGGTGTAAACCATCAAAATGTTTCTGTATAACTGTGGTTTACAAATGGGGTACAAACTTTGGTGTAAGTGTAGCATGGCCATAGCCGAATGGCTGGCTCTGGAAAAAATACCCATTCTTTTGGTCTTTTTAGAATTTTGACTCATCAATCTTTGAGTTATAATTAAATAAATTTGTTATAGTATGCGGAGTACTAATGACATAAAAAATATTTTGAAAATATTTTATAAAATAAAAATATGATAAAAAATTTTGGATCAACATTTAATATCAGTTTTAATTCAAATATGGTCAAAGTTAATTGATTTTGACAACAAAAAATAAAAAATAGACAAATACTTGGAGATGGACATTAATACGGAGTACGAGGAAACTTCTTATTCAGAGACGTGGGCATTATACTAGTTTGGTCTACTTCTACTAAATTCTAACTTATGCGATGCAAGGTGGAAATATTATCTAATAATATATATAAAGGAAAATATAAATAATACGAAGTACATAATTATGTAGCGAAGCGTTACTAATAATCTAAGATTATGTGGTATGTAATGTCCCAAAACATACCCTAAAATTATTAATAAATAATTATTCAATTAATCATAATTTGTTTTGATTAAAATAAATTGTTGTTGGGCTTTGAGTTGAAATAAGATGTGTTTTGATATCCAATATCACAATCTGGATAAATTTTATAGAGATAAATATAATATGTTGACTTTATTGTGTGACCTTGATTGAGGAACCAGAGTACACACCCAGATCAAGGATAAATAAAGAAATTGTTATAATATGAACTTTGAAATGATTTATCGAAATAAATCATGAGAACAAATGATATGAAATAAATGTGAGAACCTTTTTGAATAAAAGTCAATTAAACCAATTTTGACTCTTCCAAAGTCAAACACCCAAAAATATGATGTCGGAAAAAGTATTATAAATAATTACGAAAAATATATCGTTGAATAGAATTCGACTATTTGATCGCAACGGTGCAAACGGATTTCAATTCGAAGAAAGTTGGACCAAAAAGTGTATCCCGACTTGAACCAAAATTGGTCCCAATCAGGGACACTGTGGAGACAGCGCCTCCCAGCGCACTAGAAATTTTCCTACGCAGACCACTTGTGTCCTTTTTCTTCACATTTCCTATACAAGGAAGGAGAACCAACTTCCATTTTTGCACCAAAACATAGTAAGTTTAGTATCATTGTGTTCCTTGTTGAGTGGAGAGTTCATTTTTGCTATCAATTTGCTGAGAGATCGCCAGAGTTGGGAGTATTCATCGCCAGAAGTTTCGCCGGAAAATTTCCAAAACCTTCGTTAAGTTACGAGGTAGTTCGTAGATATATCTAGTGACTAGAATGTTCCTAGAGATCGTTTCTACGTTCATAAATGGTCGTTTGGTTGAGTTTTGTATTTGACATGCTTGAAGATCCAATAATCATAAGCCATGAAATTGTTGTTAAAACTATGAATTAATGATACCAAAATGATCTATGAACATTGGAGAACATTTCTATATACTTTAATTGAAGTTTGGTGACCAAAAATGACATTTTCGTAAGTTGACTCAAGCAGAAGATGATGAATAGTTGATTATTAACTTGAAAATCGACTATTCATCGTTCTACAGATATTTGGAACACATCAGAGAAATAGTCGATTGTCAGAATGTGACAATCGACTCTCAGCCTTCTCTAAAGATGAATAATCGACTATCAGAATGTAATAAAGGGTGTTTGGGAGTGATTAGAATATGGATAAAGTGATTTCTACAAAAGCTGAAAGCAAAAGCATCTCATACCTGCTTTTCTGAAACGGTGTTCCATGTACAAAATAATGTTGGTGAAAAGCAGAAGCTGACATGCCAAACAGAGTAAAATCACTTTCATTCAAAGTAGAAGCTAAATTGTTAAACGCAGCGCACTGCCAAACACCCTCATAATCGATTATCAGCTCATTCTGAACATTAGATAGTCGATTATCAGAAGTGATAATCGATTTTCTCCCTACCCTACTGAAGAAAATGAAGCCAGTAGCTATTAATTGGAATTCCTATCATATACTCCCTCCGTCCCAAAAAGATTTACACGTTTCAAAAAAATTGTGTCCCACAATCCCTTACCCATTTCTATTAAAAAACCACTTTTACCCCTTACTTTTTCAAACCCTACCTATCACATCATACCTTTTTCCTAATAATCTACACATCACATCCTACTTTTACCCATCATATCAAGGGTATTTTTGGAAAGTCAACACAAAATTATCCCTCCCTTAATTTCAACTTTAGTCAAAATGGGTAACACTTTATGGGACGGAGGGAGTATTAATCAATTATTGTTTAGAAAACATGATTTTTGAACTATGGAATCCTATTTTTGAGGATACCAACCAATTATGATTAATATATAGATGATTTTTTTGGAATAAAAATGATCTTTTTAAGACCATACATGATGCATGACGGCAAGATAGAGTGTTAACACTCGATGCTAAGTTGCTATTTGTTAATGAATTTTATGATGACTATTATTTGAATAATTATTATGGACAAAATAATATCCTGATCGAATGATTATTGGATAAACCATAATGAAATGTCGTTGATATTCAAGATTGATTATGAATTAATAAACCATGATTCGAAGTGAATAAATCGACAAACAAGGAAATGATATGTATTGTTAAGGCTATCTAGAAAATCTCTAAGATAGACCTCAGATTAGAATGGACTTTTGAAAATATGAATATTCAGTGGCTCGGATAAAAGCCTAAGAATGGAATTCGTAGACCAAACTGGAGGATCACTCGTTTGGAAATATTGTGGCTCAATGATGATTAATTGCTGTCTTGTTGTTGCCTTAAACTAATTATAGTTTAAGCGTCTCAGAATTGTTGTTGCCTTGAACTTATTAAAGTTTAAGCGTCGGAGAATTATTGCCTTAAACCAATTCTGGTTTAAGCGCCGGAGAACTGTTGCCTTAAACTAATTATAGTTTAAGCGTCTGATGATTATTTGCCTTAAACTAATCATAGTTTAAGCGTCTGAGAATTAGATTATGATCTGCCCTTAGACTAAGAATAGTTAAGAGCATTGTTATAATTTGGCCTTAGATTAAGAATAATGTAAGAGCACTGTCGAAATAATATCTAAATTGAATAAAATGAGCTGATATGAGCGGAACAATATCAAAACTGTGAATGTGTGAAATGAACATTGTGTGCTGTGTGCATGTATCAAATAATTTGATTATGAATTTAGATTTAATTTATTTGGATGTTCAAAGCATTAGATATGCTTACTCAACTTTACCGCTGAGCGTGTAGTGTGTTTTATTTGCTACACGTAGGTAAACAAAAAGATTAATGTGATCTTGACGGCAGATGGGGCGAGATTGTCGGGATGGATGTGGCAAGTTTGAATACTCCGTACTGTATATGTTATGAAAATATTATTGTGATAAATAAAAGTGTTTGAAAAGTTTTAAATTTTTACGATTACCAAGTTAATACTTTAATCCAAAAGGGGCTGCAGACTTGGGCGGATTAGGGTGTTACATGGTATGGTTGGGGATGATGGTATGATAATGTCGTATGACATTGTCATATTAAAGTGTACTCATCACCCTCATGGTTGTTAGTGCGCTATGGTGTGGGGTAAACTTGTGCAAACAAAGTCCGGCTTGCCCAACCCGCCCTTTAAAAAAAGTAGATATAGGCAACCTTCAATACTTACATGGGCGGGTCAGCTCGAGCCCGAATTGTATATGGGCAAATCCAGAAGTTAAGTTTAGCCCGCCCGGTCCAACATGCCCGCCCATGTTCATCAAATATATATAGAGCCTGTTCTTTAAAACTTAAACTCTTACTTTTAGTTTCTCCAGTTGCTTTCAGTTTCTTCCAATTTTTCCAGTACCTTCTAGTTTGTTCCAACTATTCTCATATTTCTTCAAACATACTCTCCAACTAATTACTCTAAAAACGATATATTTTTAATGTGATTATTATTATTATTACAACTATTATATTCATAACTTTAGTTTATAAATTATTTTTTCATCACTATTTTTACGATTCACACTCATTATTTTTTTCTTTAACTTTTTAATATGGATAATATAATCTTTTGTATATTAATCAACATGATAGAACAGGAAAATATCAATATTTTAAACTATATTTAAAAATTATGGTAATTATAACAATTTTTTGTATATTTAAATAGTTACATAGAATGCTTTATTAATCTAAGTTTATATAACACACTCACCTTTCCTTTTATTATTCAAATTTTGCTCACTTTTCTAATTTTTATAAAAAAGGTTGAAACTAAAAATAGTTTAAAGAAAAAGACTAAAACAGGAGTGAAAAAATAAAAAATGTTAAAAAACAAAGCTCTATGTCTTTATTCTAATACTAGGAGTTACAATGAGAATAAACTCTCAATCTTGAAAGAAAAAATAGGTTTGATTACATTATGTGACATGTCTGGTATTTAAAACAAAATCTTGTAATATATAAAGTATAATCATAAAAATATTATTTATAATAAATACTGCATAAATAAATTGAGGTGCAACGTAACCACAAAAACATTTTAAAATTTAAAATTATGATGTTTATACTAACTTTTGTTGGACATGAGTTCAAACCCCTTTTCTATTTCTTCTGGAATATTTTTTTTGTTTTGATGAATGACAAACAGGATGATTAATTTCAAGCTGATCAAAAATTTATTTTCGTATCGAGAAAAGCAAAGAAGGGTATCAAGAAGTTTACGGCGATATAAATCGACGACCACCCCTACGCAGATTTTTTTTTGAA